ACTGAAGCTAAAGAAGCTTTAATTTTTGATAGTCATATACACCGGGACCACATACACCGAGGCCCTAGAAGAAGCGCGGGCCAGACTCAAGACATCCGGGAAGTAAATGAAGAGACGCCTTATCATATTTCATGCTTGCCGTATTTTAAAGAACTCAATAATAATGCCGAAGGATAATCAATATTTGATCAATTTCTTGTTCGACGCTCTTTTGTGTCAATGCTTATCATAATTCATGCTTGACGTTTTTTAAAGAACTCATTAATAATGCCAAAGGGTAATCAATCTTTGATCAAATTTTTGTTCGAAGCTCTTCTGTGTCAATTGTAAAAGGGACATGTGTGTTGAATGCGTTCAGGAACATGTAATCCACAAGTTAGAAAGCGCAAAAAGTCGGAAACAAGAAAAAGCACTCGAAATATTAAAGAAAGTTGATGTTATAGGGACCAAAGAGCTCATAGAGAAAATGACTAAAGAAAGAAATGTTAGAAAATGTGAAAAAGTACAAAATGCCTTGGTCGCTAAACTATCTGAGTTGAAACGAAAAAGCAAGTGTTATTAATTGGTAATGGACTTCGAAGCAATTTTCGGTTTCTTGCGCTGTTTTGTCTGTCAAAAATTTCTCAAGAAACCATTCTCCCTAGCTTGTGGAATTCTCATGTGTAGAAGTTGTCTTGATGGAATCAAAAAGAAGAGACCGTCCGTTGTCCTGCCTACGCTCATCTTCTCACCTTCAAATCCTAATCAGCCTCAAGTTTCACCTTGCGATAGTGCCTTGATTGTATAGAAGAGCGATTGTTACGAAAGCCGGTTTGCAGATTTTTTTGAAAACTAGTTTTAAAAACTGGTTGCGGAATTCTCATGTGTATAAGTTGTCTTGATGGAATCAAAAAGAAGATACCGTCCGTTGTCCTGCTCACGCTCATCTTCTCACCTTCAAATCCTAATCAGCCTCAAGTTTCACCTTGCGATAGTGCCTTGCTTGTATAGAAGAGCGATTGTTACGAAAGCCGGTAAGCAGATTTTTTTGAAATTTAGTTTTAAAAACTGGTTTTTGTATTTAAGTTTTGTTTTCAGTTTTTGTTTTTTAGAAGAGAGATAGTTACGAAAACGGTTTTAACTAGTTACAGTTTGGCCTAAAAACCATATGTTTGTTTGACAAGTATCTCTGAAGTTTCTGCAAGTATCTCAGAAGTTCTTTGACACACTCTAAAACAAGTCCCGCCTCAAGCTCCCGCTCGAAATCAAGAAGAAAGCGGATAATAAAGAGAAAGTAGAAACTTGTTAATTATTTAATTTATTTAGTGTGATGTGGTGTGTTGTTTTAAGATCAACTGAGATTCCGTTTCCGAATGGACCCCCGGGCTCGAACAGTCAAAACGGAAAAACAGACCAAAACAGAAGTGATCATATAACAGTGACATGTGAGTTCGAAACTGAACAAATGAAATTCAAAGTGAAACCATTGACCAAATTGCAGAAGATACAGAACACGTTCTGTGAAAGGGAAAATCTTTTATAATGAATTTTGATGATTTTTTGTACACATTGTACTGGAATTTGCCGGATGGTTTGACAAACTTCAAAGGATCTCCCGAAGGTCAAACATGGAAGTTAATTGAAATGATCCAGGACTGAGCAGTTTCACCTAGCGACAGTGCCTTGCTTGTATAGGAGAGAGATTTTTACGAAAGCCGGTTTGCAGATTTGTTCTGAAAACTGGTTTTAAAAACTAGTTTTTGTTTATTAGTTTTGTTTTTAGTTTTTGGTTTTTAGAAGAGAGATAGTTAGAAAGCGATTTTAACTTTTTACAGGTTGGCCTAAAAATAATATGTGTGTTTGACAAGTATTCCTGAAGTTCTTTGGCAGATTCTGAAACAAGTCCAGCCTCAAGCTCCCGCTTGGAATCAAGAAAAAAGCGGATAATAAGGAAAACGTGGAAATTTGTTAAGTAAAACAAGGCCGTCAATCGGTGTACTGTTGAGACATTAACGTGGAAAGAAGCGTGGAAAAGCACTGATAAGTTCAATTTTGTTGTCGCGTGTTGAATATTCAATTTGACGGATGGTTTCAAACGCAACTGAATTTAAATAACGAGAAGGCTCGCAACTCAAATAGACAACAAAATCAGTTGTGTTTCCGAACATATATAACCAGGACAATTGAAGGAAGCCTTTAAATTGGTTACGAAGTTAATCTTACAGCTTTTACGTTTTCAACGACAAACATGAACAATTCCAGGCCAAAACACGGCGAATCAAATAAAAAAGCGTTTCTTAGCATTTTATTTTTCTAAAGATTCTTTGAATGCGTAACTGGGCTCCTTGAACAAGAAGATGGTTCAGTCTCTTTCAATCTAGGCCATAATGACTGGTGGAATCATCAATAAGAATGAGCCCTACCACAAAGAGTCGGCCAGGATATCTACCTTGTGTTGGTGTTTCGTATCAGAAATCGAATTTTTTATACCTTGGTAGCGTCCAGGCCTCAATATCAGCTCCAGAAGGTGTACACAGTGTAACAAGCCAATCACTGGTTTGTTAAAAGTAACAAGTATGAAAATATATTTATCGAAAATAGATTTTTAAGTCAAAACGGCACCAGGAAGCCAATGAAGAGACGACTCCGCGAGCTGGAAAGAAACTGGTGGGAAAACATTATCACCGCGTGCAAATGACATCAAATGACGAGCGAACATCAACCACGTGCAAAAGTCAAATGACGAGCGAGATGTTGACAAAATCAAGTCCAATCTCGTAGCTTTTGTCAAGAAAGTTCCTCGCTCTAGCTCGTTGTGTTTTGTGGGTTGCTTCCTTAATAATTTCTATGAGGTAGAATTGACATGCGAAGGTCTAGCAAAGTTTTCAGATTGTTTAATCGACGAGGAAACAATAGAATTTACAGAAACATTTCTTGGGCGATTTTCTACTATCTGATGTGTCTCAAAAAATGAGCATGTTTATGCAATTGATCTCTTTCGCTTTAGAATCTTGGTCCTAACTGAAGCTAAAGAAGCTTTAATTTTTGATAGTCATATACACCGGGACCACATACACCGAGGCACTAGAAGAAGCGCGGGCCAGACTCAAGACATCCGGGAAGTAAATGAAGAGACGCCTTATCATATTTCATGCTTGCCGTATTTTAAAGAACTCATTAATAATGCCAAAGGGTAATCAATCTTTGATCAAATTTTTGTTCGACGCTCTTTTGTGTCAATTGTAAAAGGGACATGTGTGTTGAATGCGTTCAGGAACATGTAACCCACAAGTTAGAAAGCGCAGTTAGAAAGGGACCAAAGAGCTCATAGAGAAAATGACTAAAGAAAGAAATGTTAGAAAATGTGAAAAAGTACAAAATGCCTTGGTCGCTGAACTATCTGAGTTGAAACGAAAAAGCAAGTATTATTAATTGGTAATGGACTTCGAAGCAATTTTCGGTTTCTTGCGCTGTTTTGTCTGTCAAAAATTTCTCAAGAAACCATTCGCCCTAGCTTGTGGAATTCTCATGTGTAGAAGTTGTCTTGATGGAATCAAAAAGAAGAGACCGTCCGTTGTCCTGCTTACGCTCATCTTCTCACCTTCAAATCCTAATCAGCCTCAAGTTTCACCTTGCGATAGTGCCTTGATTGTATAGAAGAGCGATTGTTACGAAAGCCGGTTTGCAGATTTTTTTGAAAACTAGTTTTAAAAATTGGTTTTTGTTTTTTAGTTTTTGTTTTTTTCAGGTGTTTATACGCGGAATCCACGAAAGTTCTTTGAGTGGAATATAATTACGTTTTGGAACATGTTTAAATATTTGTTTCTTGAAACCGGGAACATACTGACAAAAAATTGTGAGCCTATTCAGTTTGATCCTGATTTCATATAGTCGTAATTTTAGTTGTGTGATGAAAATTTTCAAAGTTAAGCTACAGCACGGTAACGTTAAGGAAACATTTTCGATAATAGTTTAGACATTTAAGAATATATTATAAATGTTTTCGACAAAAAATAATGTTGAGTTGGAAGCATCATTTCCATAGATAGCGCCATCTATGGTGCGACGTATGATTTGAATGGTGATAATTGTAAAAAATATATTTAAACAGCTTCTGTAGTGTGAGAATTATATGCTTGATAATTCTAGCAGTAGAACATTTATTTCCGGAACTTTCGAAAAAAATCTGAGCGTCGTTTGATAAGTAGTTTTCCATACAAACTATATATAGATGTTTGGCAGCGCATAATCCTCTATGGTGGACATACCGGAATAGCTGATGTTTAAATAAAAATATAATTACCAAAGTTGATGAAATTGAATTGAATTGCAAGAAGTGAAGGAAGTTGTCCTGAAAGTGATATTATTACTTGACGTCGGGCACAATGAAATCTGCTGTAGCTATTGATAGGCACCTTTTTTGGCAGCTGATTTAATTGAAATATAATGTGGATGTTTACATACTCTATGATCTCAATATGATTAAAACAACGATGAAATCCATGCTTTTTGTGCTGTTAAGCGAACGTTAAATTTTAATATGGAGATAATTTGAATTAACCTTTTCTAAATTTCATTGTCATTATCGAATTCAGTATTACCAAACATTGTTTATCTTTTGTAGTTATTAAGTTAAGATTTTTTTTCGCTCTGATGAAATGATGAAAATGAGCCCATTGCTGTTCTCGTGGTGTAATCTTGCTAATGTAATGCTCGGTCTTTCGTAGAAAAAGACAAAAAAAATTGTCACTTTGTTAAAATGATAGTGAAGATAGTATGATTATATAATATGGAAAGCATCTGCATTTAACAGCACAGAAGACAACTAATTAGCAATTTAAATTTTGGTGATCCAAGAAGTTTTTATGCAACAGATTGACGAAAGCCACAATCGGTAGAATGCCATAAATTTACCAAAAAGGCAAAATTTGAAGAAAAAAAATTCAGTTGTAGTTTCCACAAGTTGTTACCTTGCCCATAAAGTGACTGGATAATTTTTTTTTCAGATTAGGTCTACTCTAATGGCCAGCGTTCGGTCCCTGATTGGGCTGGCTTTTTTCGCGGCCATCGGCGTCCTCATGTTGCTCTTAGGCTGTGCCCTTTACAACAACTGGTACCCTATGTTTATCCTCATTTTCTATGCCCTCTCCCCGGCTCCTTGTCTCATCGCCAGGCACTTCACAGACGATCTGGAACCCAGCGACTCGCCTCTTTGGGATCTGTGTATATTCCTAACAACTGGAATTGTAGTCTCCGCGTTTGGACTCCCAACTGTGTTTGCACACCAGGGAATCATAGGCATCCCATCATGTGTGCTAATCATGGCGGGAAACTTCGTGGTGTTTTGCACAATCTTGGCTTACTTCATGCTATTTACAGGCGACGACCAGTTTTCATTCGCAACGTGGATTTAGAATCCAACTGAGTTTGTCAACAATCTTCGTCGATATTTTACGCCAGTATGTCCCGTCACTGTGAATCTAAACTTTGGTAGTAATAACTATTATGAATTTTCAATTTCTAAACGTTTTGACAAATGGAGCTAAACTAAGTACCAAATTTCCATCTTTGAATCTTGAATAAGCAAGACATAATTTTGATGCTCGATATTTTTTTGTATCATTGTATGATCCTCACACAGCAAACGATTTGTAATTAGATTCTTTTAGAATTAAAACCCGTTTATGTTAGTTGTTTTCTCAATTAATAAAGGTCTTTAATCAGGTATTTCCGCTGCAAAATTAAAAGCATCTTATATCGCCAATTTTTTTCACGAGCCATCAAAATTTTTCGATATCTTCAAACCTCAATTACCTCTAAAATACCGTTGACCTATGCCGTTGAAACATTTATTTATGAAACACTGTAGCTAAATGCAATCCTATAGTTTTGTTATATCTACTCTCAATATTTTGATTGTTATGCAACGAAAGCAGAAATATAAGAAAACTAGTGCGTGGTTTCTAGATTTTTACTAAGGGTTGGGTATTCATAGCTACCAAAATGAAAAATAAGTCGAACAAGACTGCTCGTATCATTGCAAAGCCCTGGATTTTCCGACTACCTTTTAAGGTCTATGGAGCTTCAGTAATAACATGAAAAAATTAAATAGAATAAAATCAAAAAAAATTTTTAAATTCAAGATTTTTTGTGAAAATGATCCCCTCCACACGCAATATAAAATAATCCCCTCACACGCCATATAAAGTACAAAAGGATGAATTTCGCTCCTTGTGGCAAATCAATTATGGCAAATAAGCTTCTTTCAACCAATTTGCAACGATTTTAAGATGGATTGAATCTCCGCTTACGCGGTAATAGCGCGAATTATATCGCGCGTTAATTGTCCCAAATTGGCCTAAATGACAACCTTTAAACCCCCATAACTTTACGAAAAATGATCACAGGTAAAATATCTTTTCAAATTTGAGCTCAGGACAACAATAGTTTTTGAATGATATTTAAAAAATTCCGTCATAAATGGCTTGTTTAAAAATCGAAATTTGTCTGAAGAAAAAAAGCCACCCCGAGCACAAATATTCCGTTACTTTCGCTATGAAAGTCGGAAAAATAAGTCTCAAAACAAGCTAGCAATTGCAAAAGTTCCAAAAACTGTTCAATTGGTCAAAAACTGAGTCGAGTTTTTTAAACAACTTTAAAGCTGTTCGCGCGAATAGTCGCTCCGTGAAAGATTTAATATCAACCCTGAATCCGCTGCTGCACAGTAAAAAAAAACTAGTTTTGGTAAGGATGCGTTTGGCTATGCTGTTTTACTCCATTTAATTAAATAATCGAAGTATTCGTTGTGTCGAGCAGAATAATTTATGACTTGTGTTACTGATTTTTTTTGGGTGCTTTGAACGAGAGCTGTGGGAATTCTGCAATTCAGAATTTGGTCTCTTTTTTTTCACTGGAGAAGTAATATCTGATTCTACTACTATTTTTTTCCACTATTGTTTACTTGCACTATTTGTTAATCTACCGGCTTACCAATTTCAATCCGATTGAGGCAACTGTCCATTTCAGATATGTTTTTTCATTAAATGTCCAACGGATACTATACTGTACAAGTTGCAAGTAAGGACCTTGTCTGAAAAATAGCAGTTAATTTCTGCTTCTTATCATGAGAAGTCCTAACACTTCGTTCAACGGAGGGATTCCCCTTGCCTCGTCAGTTAACCAATCAGACTCTTCGTCTGGGATGATGACGTCATCTGAAGTACTGCCACCTTCCACTCCGGTCTCACCCTATCAAGGTCAAAGCTGTGTGTTCACTTGTTGGATATGTAGATTTCAGGTGAGTGTACATTTGATCCAAGCGCTTAATTTTTGTTCCTTCCACTTCACGAAGTCTGTTTGTTTTCGGTCGATTTTGACTTACTAAAAGAAAGATCGTAGGAAGTTAAGTATGGAGTGGGAGTATAATGTTGACACTTTTTTGGTCATTATTTTATATTGTACCAAGATTTTTAAATAAGTTTTCTCATTGTCGAGAAAAACAGGTAAACATTTATTTTTTAATTTTTCGAGTAGTTTTTTTTTAGACTGGAAATTTCCGAATGAGTTTCCAATCTTATTTCAAGATGTTCGCTAGAACCTCTAATTGGTTTGTCTCTTGACTTCACTGCTAACCAGCCTTTGCTGAGTCACCGTTGTAAATTTAGATCTCGCTATCAGGTATGCAGACTTTGTGGTTTCAATTACATTTTATCTTTTCTGCCTTCCATCTTGAACGGTTTTTGATTTCCCTTGTCCCTTCATTGCACTATAATTTCTCCTAGGAAAGTTTTCTGAAGATGTTTTGATCTATTTGGAAGTTTTTTAGGTGGATGACCCTGTCACGTGTGCCAATGGACACTTGTTTTGCAGACACTGCGTGAACAGATGGATTGAGCCACGCTCATACACTTCATATCTCTCCAACGGCTCAAACTCTGCCATTGGTCTCGACCAAAATGGTACTAGAGGTCATGATGAGATATCGCAATCTAACGGAACCGTTCATAATGGAGGAAGTGTACCTAGGAAGAGTTTCTGCCCCACATGTAGGATTCCGTTGAGTGTCGAGAGTCTGAGACCTATATTGGGTTAGTTGTGTTTAAGTTTCATTTTACTGCTAGTGAAAATCATTTTGTGCGTTTCGTGATTATTTGTACGATTCGGCCTTATTTTCATCCTTGTTTGAAGCAGACATTTGGAAGCTGCACATGTTACTATTTCACGTGTTTGGAACTATTAATTTGCATTATTTTTTTTGAATAACAGGAGCCCAAGAGGAGCATTCGAATAGTACATACAGAGGCAAAAGTGCAGACGAAAACTCGTGTGTGAAAATGGTGCTATCCAGAAAAGAACTGAGGAACCAACGCTTCAGCTCTCTGAGGGACCTATATGAGGTAACTTAGTTTTGAGTGTGTTAACAAAATATTTGAAAGTGCGAAAAAGCGTTTATGATAAGGAAATGGCTGAACAAAATGTTTCCAATAACTGCGATTTCAACTTTTGCTCTCTAATTTATTTAAAAGTTTTTGATTCTTTTGCGCAACATTGATTTAATGTGTTATATACAAAAATAATGCAGAAAAGTGTCTTGTTGTTCTGGTCACTCTCGAAGAGTGGAAAAAAGTATGGATTAGGTTCAGTTTTCGTAATTTTTTCTAGCCAGTTTTGACTACCTGAAGGAAGCTCGTAGTGGTAAAATGTGCTATCATAAAAAACCCCAGTGGTCGTGATTTGGATTCTTGAAAAAAAATGAAAAATTTCTGTCAGGAGAAAAAGCGGCTATCCTTGTTTGTTTTGTTTGTTTGTTTTGTTTGTTTGTTTAGAGTGAGATCACTCTTCTGTTGAGTGAGATTGAAGATCTAGAAGACCGGTTGAGTAGTAGGAGGGGAGCCAAGTATGAGTCAGCAGGTGTGCAGACAGATGGCCCAATGGCCTCCATGAAACAGCTCCTCAGCACCACAGACAAGTTCGAGACCACTCTTAGACTGTCACTAGAACTGAAGGCTGAAAACGATTCCCTTAAGAAGGTATCATTCAAGTTCAAATCGGCTCTTTGATTTGCTCAAAAATGACTTTTAGCATACGAAGTAGCAATCAAAGCATTCGTAATTCCATTATATCGATATCATAAAACAGAGTAGAAAGAAGCGTTAAAAGCTCTAAGTCAAACTAAATTTTTTGAAAATGATTTTTCGAGATCGATTGATTTATTTAACAGATCACATCAGCGCTTTTTCATCTATATGGTTTTTGCACTGTGAAACACTTGAAGTTAAACATGGGCTGTGTAGTTTGTAGTTTAGTAACCGTTTCTCAAGTGCTAAAAGTCTACGAGGCTTCTTGTGAATTTCAATGATTTGCTTTGTTATTTCAGAGAAATGAGGACTTGGAGATGGAGAGGAGCAGTCTGCAAAGGGCACTAGGCAGGGTGGATCATGACGACAGGAGCAACGGAACCACACCTTCAACTCCGTCCAAGTTAGTGCTTTTACGGAATGTAACTTAACGCTATAGATATTTCGCATTTTTGGAAAACTTTCTCAAAAGTCGGTTTTAAAGAACGAGTTCAATTATGTTTTCTCTAGTACTATCATTACTACTCTGGTCCTATTCATTGAGTCTTATATGCAATTGAAAACGATCGGCTCTCTTGTGTTTCAGGTTTGGTGGCAAGTATGTTGTCTCTACACTGGAGAAAACTATCGAAGGCCTGCAGAAAGAAAACGAACAATTAAAGAAAGCCCTGGACAGACAAGACCAGTTCATAAAAGACCTGGAAGCTAGAAAACACTCATCATCTACCTCAAACACTGAGCTAGAATTGAATTCGTGGGGTAATCTGAAGACTATTTCTGAAAACAATACTAGCGGCAGTTCAAGTGCAAGGAAGTTGGGAAGTCGTGTTAAATCGTTCGGTGAAATCGCGTTGCCTTCACAATCACCATGCAAGAATCTAGCTATGAAGAGTTCAACTAAATCAGAGTCCAAAAAGCCATACCAATCCAAGACTGAACCAAAAAGCAAAATGGAAGGAAGTTGTACTCCAAAAATGGCGGCAAAAGAAATTGAAAATGAGATCAGCAATTGTGAAAATAGTAGTGTCAGGCCTACTAGGAGAACTTTATTTTCAAATGAAACTAAGAGGTTCATTGAGAAGGAACCTAGCTCTTCAGAAGCTCAACTTCTGTCTGAAACTACTGCTCTCACTTTCAATGGACATAAAATTGCTAATGTTCAATCAAAATTATCTGATAAGATTGGGTTAGAAAGTGATCTAACGGATAAGACTGGAAAATCTCCAAAGACCAGGAATCCATCGCCATCTAAGATTCCAAGACCCAGATCACAGTCGCCCAAAGTGGCACAAGAACTGGGCATCAACTCAACAGCTGTCAGAAGATCACCGAGGAAAAATCCTCTGCTAGAAGTTATTTCGGAGAGTTCACCAGGCCACCGAAATAATAGTTCACATCGTGAAAAATCAGATGTACAAGTTGCGGAGGATAGGGATAGCCGCCACATTGATGTCTGTCCTAAAGATGATTTGGAAAAGAGTTTTGAAAACAATGGTAGCCGAGATGGGTCATCTAGTTGCAGGAAAATTGTGGATCATGACAGCCTAAAATCAAACCATAGTTCAAAATTACTAAATGAAATCAAATCACTGAATGATACACTGGAGCTTTCAGTTGGATCAGATCTGTTTGGTGAAGCAAACGATGACCTTTTAAATTGTGAAAATGCGGTGACAAATAATTTGCAAGATTCTGTTCATACACATATCGGTCAAAAACCAAGTGTACCCAGTAGTTTCAATACTCCCAAGATATGCCCCCCGCATGTAGAGGATGATGCCGACCAATCAGACGCTTTTTTGAATGAAATATTTTCAAGTACCGAAAAACGAGTGGGAGACAGAATATCAACAAAATTGAACAGCACTTCATCGTCAATTAAAACCACTGACGGCAATGAAGAAAAACTGGAATCTAATTCAATTCAATTAGGGAGACTTTCTAGTCTAGACGAATTCAAATCGCTATCGTCAGCTATTGTTTCTCAGAGTGCTGAAATGTCTGAGGTGTCCAGAAATAAGCGATTAGAAAGTGATTTCTCAAATGACAATCAGATTGCCTTGTCGCCTGGTAAAAGACATTCGGCCGAGTTCTATCCCGTGTCAAGAACGAAAGCCTCTGAATCAGATGCGAGTATCAAAACTAATTCAGAGCTACAAATAGTTACGCCGAGTTTTGTAAATTCTGCAAGAACTAGCACAAACCTATCGATTGATACGCAGTCAGTCTTGGCCAATCTAAATAATTATCAGATAAGTTTGTCTGAGATCACAACTAGGTACCAATCAGCGCTGAGTTCGAAAATCAATGATATTACACAATCAGAAACGACCAAGTACTCCATTGGAGATAATAAAGTATCCAAAAATCTATCTTCGAAAAATCTTTTAAGTGGCTGTGGTCGACTTGCAAGTGATGATGGTTTGGAAGCCTCTACTTCTAGCAATGTTGGAACTTCATCTAATTGTGTGACCAGACCCGACTTTCTAAAAGACGTAGACGAAACGTTAGATGAAATTAGAAGACTGAAAGAACAATCAATCCACTCTTTAGCAACTGCGTCTACTAGTCCGACTGTTCAAAATGCAGACTGTTTAGTGACATCAAACATGAAGACCCCTAGAAAGGGAAACCAAGAGTTGCGACTAGGGATACTCAGTTTGGAAGGCACAAAGTCACCTGTTTCGAGTGCAATCAACACAACCCCGAGGTCAACAATAAAGCGAACGTTCGAAGAAATGACTCTGAAGTAATTAGTATAATTTGAGTAAAAAATTACTAGAATTTTGAAAAGACTTGATCTTGTTTTCCATTTAATCTGTATTGGTGATGTTCATTACAATTTGTATTCTCTCTCATTGTCTAGTTTTTAAATTGACAAATCTTTTTGAATAAGTATCATGACTCGTATGATCCAACAGAAAACTAGATTTTGGAACTCTCAGCGATAACTCGTGTGATAGGTGTTCTTCACGGTGTCCGGTTAATAAGACCAATGTTGTTACGACACCAACAGCTTTTGGCGGGACTTCAAGACGACGCTAAACTTTATGTAGGTCGTGATAAAGCTTAAACGTGCAAAATTTCATTCGTTTCTGGAAGCTTTAACATGAAACATGAATTTTTCACAAGATAATTTTAAAGATAAGGTTATATCAACCACGTGTTTTTTTTTACTTATTCCGCCCAATTTTCTTTATTTCGCAAGTTTGTAATATATAATCTATAAATGAAACAAAACACTAATCGCACTGATTGGTTAAGTTAATACAAATGCGATCACTTAACTCATTGGCCGATTTCTAACAAGGCCGAATTTTGAGCAATTGCGAAAGTATTCGATTTTCCCTGAAGCTATCTTTTCTGTGTTTTTTTTCTGGTCTGAGTAAAAATCTACAGCTTGTTTGAAATAAGAGAGAAAATTTCACCATACAGTTAAGTTTTTTGGCTAATTCATAAATCGACCTAAAATTGTGAATAATACATTTTGAGATGATGCTGAAATTTGATTGGCTAATTGTAGCCATTCAGATTTAAGTGGAATAGTTCTCGTTCGAGTTTTTGAAACGTTGATTTTCGGGCGGAGTAAGTGAAAAGACCCCATCTACAAACCAGAAATAATTATCGAAAGATTCGGCTTCTTTTGTTTGACTAAAATGAAACTGTCCATAATTGTTGCAAATAGTTATCATCATCAACAGTTTTTTTTATAGATCGTGATAAAACTTAAACGTGCATCTTTTTAATCGTTTCTGAAATACATAACAGAAATACAATTCAGCTACAAAACAAAATTAATTACCGAAAATTAATGCACTAATCAAATTATTTTTTTTTGAAGCGAAAAAAATAATTTCAAGAAATTGTTAAAAAACTGAAAAGTCAAACAATTGCGCATTTTAAACACACTGAAGATTTAGACAACAAGGATAACCGGTTACTGTGCAAGTAGCTCTGAATGTTCCGACCACAGTCTTAGAAAAATATTTAAAAAATTTTTTTTCAAAATATTGTAATTTTCCGCAAGGTGTGCAAAAGATCAAAACAAAAAAACTCTAGGCATATTTGACAATCATATTAAATAAAGAAAAGTGATAAGAAAAACGAAAAAATATTGAAAAAAAAATTTCAAAAAAAATAAGTTTTGCGGACTTTTTAACCTTTGCTTACAAAATGGCGCTAAAAGCTCCGAAAACTACTTTTACGTGAATACAACTGAGTTTTCACGGCTTAAATTAAACTTAAATAACCATATTCGTTCAATATTAGACCAAAGTCAAAAAAAATCCAACTGGTTCTCGCAACTGAAAATATTTTTGATCTTTTTTATCGTTATCATACAAAAACCCTTCCAATCGTTATTCGAACGATAAAAAAGATCAAAAATATTTTCAGTTGCGAGAACCAGTTGGATTTTTTTTTTATTTTGGTCTAATATTGAACGAATATGGTTATTTAAGTTTAATTTAAGCCGTGAAAACTCAATGACAAAGCAGACAAAAAACTATCCGAAAGCTGAGAAACTTGCCCGATTCGGAAGAAAATTTCAAAAGTGTCTGTGTCTCACATGGCTACTCGAGGGAAGCTAGATCTTTGAGAAAACAAAAGATGGTCGAGGCCAAAGAAAAGGACGGTGATGATTCAAACCAAATGGTCTTTTCAGTGAAACGCAAGGCGAATGAACTTAAATTTAACAGAAAAAAATCTACGTTAGCTAATTCAAACCAAAAAGAAACAAAACAAAAAACTGACTCTTTTCAAGCTTCAAAGCCTTGCTTTTACAATGTACGAAACCTGCTAAATCTATAAAAAAAAACTCAACAAATCAGTAGTCTAATCACTAGTTAATACACTTGCGAAGCAGATGTGTTTGTACGAATTTACATTATTTTTCTAAATTAAGGCGCGAATAAAAGTGCTAATTGTGGTGGCTCTTTTGAATCAGTATAATATCATATGTGCTTGGACATTTGGCCAGTCGAAAGTTAACATAGTTAATGCATTTTTAATTCATCAAATGAACCGAAAATAGTTAATTGTTTCAAACAGCAGTTCAACAATAAAAAGTTTGATTTCAGAAAGTTTGCAACTCAATGTATCTCGCTTTTTTGAAGTGCATAAACTACATAAATTGGTTTTATGCTTTCCAGTTTAAAACATGCAAAATTGCTTCTTTTTGTTATTGGTGTTACTTTTGCTGCATCGAATTGGCTATATATTAGCATCTTTAGCCGTGTTATTGGTGAATAGGTTTTTGGAATTTTAGGCATCAGTTGATGAGAAGTTAGTTAGTGCGTGAGACTCAAATTTGCTAGGTCGCAGATTTTAATCCGACAAGCAGCCAATTTGAGGCTTATTTCTACTTTTTCTCATTTCACTTGTTAGAGCTGCTTTTTGGTCGTGTTCTTGCAAGTGTTTAGGAAGCGCAGCTTCGCCTCTATATGAATTTTGCAATAATAATGCTTACGGAGACTTGGTTAACAGACAATCTAAAAAAAAGGCGAATTAGTTTTAAACAACACCAATAACATCCGAGCTAACAGGCAAGCAAAATGGGACAGGTATTTACAGCAATGGAGGAGTACTGATTGGATTTAGAAATCAAATAAAGCACGAACACTTTAACACAGAAGTACTTGATTTAAATTAGTCTTTCATTTTGATCAAACTTTTCGAATCTCGGCCTTTTTTTCTTATAGTTTTACAGAGCTCACTATCCGGTAGTTCATATCAAGTCAGCACTTCTTCCATGTTTAAAATGTGGGATTTTTGAAGACTGATACCCAAAAATGTTAATCTCGCGTGAGATTATAACTTGCCCGACATTGAATGGAAAAATACTTGTTTGACAGAAAATGATTACAATGAAACTTGATTGCTCAAGTGAAACAAATGAAGGATCCAGCTTCGTTTTCTGATCATATGCTTATTGCAATTGACCCTGCTAGACACAGAACAACTACAAAAGATCAAATCACCTTATTTCTACAGCTTCTGCAAATGTCAGTTTGAAAATCAGACGGGTAAATGCTCGTCAGCCCTTTCATGCCTTTCTGTTACAGCAACATGAATGTAAATACTGATTTGTGGTATAATTGGATCTTCGAACTAATTGATAAAAAACCCCTTCTAGAACTCGGAAACGGAAAAGTCTATCAGCCTGGATTTCCTCTGAATCCGCGCATGTAATAAATAAGTTGGAAGTTCAAAGAAACAAGTTAATGATACGCTGCAAAAGTTCATACATGGCCAACAAAGTTCAAGCGTTTTAAATTGAATGCTCTTGATTGCAAGGTGCTTATAGGCAGCAATATGAAACAGGAGTGTTTTCAACTAGAAAAAATAAAAGCGAGATATTCAAATACCTAAAACGTCTCGGCTGAGAAAATTTTCCACCAAGAGTCCTCGACCCCTCAACAAATTGCGAGGGCAGTGAAAATAAAGACTGGTGTAAATAAAAGCAGAGGGCCAATTCAATCACCACCCATATTTTCCGAAACAACCAGGACCGAATCAATGTCTTTTTTTATTAAAAATCCTTGTTCCATTGAACAAAAAATTTTACCAGAAATTGAAAAATGGAAGTGTGTTGTCAATCTTCAAGAAAGACAACAAAGCAGACGTCTCGATCTATCATCCAGTAACGTTATTTAATGTTGTTTCTACTGTCCTTGAAAAAGTCATTTTCTGAGCCATAACTGAATGTTTTTTAGATAAACAGTCTGAATTCCAGTTTGGCTTTGTTCCAGGAATGTCAGTTATTTCACAACTAATTTCTAGTCTCTCTAAAATCTATAAAAACTTTAGCTGCATAGATAGTTGCAGATTGTTGTTGCTGTTCGATTTTTCGAGAAATTGAAGCTGGGAGTTTATTGAAGAAGTTGATTAATTTCAGAAGAGTTTTTTCTCCTGATTCGGGGTTCTCTGAATGATAGCACCAACGAGTCAGACTCAATGCAGCCTTCTCCCAGCAAAAGTTAATGTAACTTCGGAGCTCAACAGCTCCAGTTTTTGGACGTCTTTTGATTCTTTTGTACATAAGTGATCTACTTTTGAATGTGCAAACCGCAGTTCCAGTCGACCTAAAGTTGAAATATTGAGGAAAATGTTTAAAAGAACTATCAGAGGATCTGAAAATTTTGCACAAATGAAGCAACAAAAGCTGCTTCCTTTTCAACTTCCATCAAGGCTCAGTCACTGAGTTGATCACTGGCCAGAAGCAAAGAAATCCCGAAATATGCAACCTTGGTTTTGGAACGGAAAAGCGGCAGAATCACAAAACTGTGAAAGAATTGAGGATGATTATCAATGAAATTCTTTATTGGTCAATTATAGAACCGGTGAACCATTTTCAAACATTTTCCTGCTCAAAAGAAATTGCTGAAAAAATTTATTTGCATAGTGCAGTTATTAACACAGTTCTTCTTCAAGCGTCAGAATCCCGGGAGCTGAAGTGATCAAATTTTGTTCTTCTATAGAATTTCAACAAGAAAATTCGTTTTTGGATCACCGATATTAGTTTGTACAAGCAATCGTTGATATCTCTGAGTTTGTTGCTTCCTTTATATATCAAAATTCTCAAAGAGCTATATTGCTATACGGCAGTGTTATCAATGGGAGATATGGAGTCATTTTTCAAATTATTTTGTCATCAGGGAAGAAGGAGGACAACCTAGAATACATTTATCAGAAATCAATTATGAGCTCCAGCGTAAGAGATTCTGTTAACGCACTGTTTTCAGAATTAACTGCATCCAAATTTTTTTGAAGAAGCTCATCTGAAAAGAAAACTGTTAAGCCTGATGTGGAGCTTCTTTTCAACATACTGGACTGAAAACAACCCATGCATATGCACCTTCATCTGTTTGTGCCATTTTTTTTTGTGCTAAACAGATACTTTAGGCCTGACCTTGAAGTCATATTAACCTCAGTGGCATATCCACGAAGTCATACTAATAAAATTAATAACGACAATAATATCGGGCGAGGAAGAGCGTAGCAATATCTCTTTGAAGTACCACGGGGAGCTGCTGGAGCGAGTAAGACGCAGCCAGCCGAGGGTCGCGGTACGAGGTGCGCGGGGTGGCTATGATGGCGACGTGACACAGGTTTTTGGTAGCAATCGGGGACCAGCCACAGAGAGCTTCGTGTGAAAGTGAATTGAAAGTAGTGCCGGCTTCTTCACAGGGAAGTCTACGTTTGGATATCTTCCGGTCGTCGGATATCTCAGGGGCGTAACCAGCGGATGTTCCTTTAAGAGAGAGAGTGTGGCTGGCTGCATAGAACTTATCACTGTCTCATCAAGAGCGGTGGGGCGACTTCGGGACCAACAGGGAAGAAAGATGTCACCTCGACGAGAACGGGTGTTCGTGAGGTTGAATTTTTTGAGCCTGGGGTAAAGAGCGGCCTTGAAGGCGACGTTGAAGATGGTGTCGCAAAAGCGGTCGTGTCAGTGAATTCAGTCGCTGAGAGACGCTGAGTGGACCGGTGACCAGGAAGAGTCATTGATGGTGTCCGTCAGCTGTGTTTGGGCCTTTGGAGCAAGAGAGACGAGAAGAGACAAAATGTTGGCTTGAAGTCCTGCATTGTCGAAACACAGTCTTGAAACGGAGCGGATATTTCACAAGAGTAGTTAACAGTGATCTGCTCCCCGAGTTGAGATTTTTCACTTAATTTGAAGAAAGATTCGAGCGATTTGAGAGGTTTTTTAGACAATTGCGCACCGATTTTTGCATCATAATGAGTGGTTTAAGCGGTTTTTGAGCTGTTTATCTAAAAACACCGATCAAAAACCGCGCAAGATTTGAACGGTTTTTGAGCGGTTTATCTAAGAAAACCGCTCAAAACCTGAACGGTTTTCGAGCGGTTTTTCTAGATAAGCCTCTCAAAAACTGTTCAAGTCTTGCGCGGTTTTGAGTGTTTTATTTTAGATAAACCGCTCAAAAACCGTTCAAATCTTGCGCAATTTTTGAGCAGTGTTTTTATATAAACAGCTCAAAAACCGCTCATTATGCAGCAAGATTTGAGCGGTTTTTCCAAAAAACCGCCCAAACCGCTCAAATCTTGCTGGAAAACTGCTCAAACCGTTCAAATCTTGGGTGGTTTTTGAGCGGGATCTCGATCGGGTCGGCAAGAGACTTTGTGTCAAGGAGACTTTGTGTCAAGCAGACTTCCTAAGAAAGCAGCGTCACAGACTTTGGAGGCAATCGGAAGGCCAATCCCGCCTTTCGAAAGAAGCAGCCAAGACTGGATGCGTTGACATTCAGAAACGGTAGAGACCTTAATTGCTTCGAGGGCAATAAGAACGGCTTTGTCAAAATCAGAAAGAGCGGCAGAAGCGGAAATGAGGTTGCAAGTACTGAGGCTGAAATAAATTTTGGGGAGAGTGGCACAACTTCGGAGCAGCTGCAGCTCCAGTTGGGGGTATGCAAGCAGCCGAACTGACTCCGTGGTGTCTTGGCACTTGTCGACTTGCTTGGATAGCATCCGATTAACGAACTCTGGCCTGTTGGAAACTGGGAAACTGTAGCTCCTAAGTTCTTGAGACCATCATCATGTACAATTATTTCTGGCGGCACAAGACTGAAATCTAGAGAGGGGTTGAGAGACCACAACTCGCACTTGTCAATAAAGACTCTTAAGTCTACTTCATTCGTTAAAGAACTGATGAATGTGAATGCTTGAGAAAGAGTGTGAACTGTCCCAACGAGGGAGCCGTTGTCAAGGTTTCAAAATAAAAACACGCTTGTTTGTATGAAATGCATATTTAAACAGAATTAGGTTTCAGAATTAGTGCATGCTTGGGGAAGAATTTCTTCATTAGGTCACTTTAGGGGGAGGGGGGGGGGGGGGGGGGGGGGGGGAGCGTTGTACGGTTGATCACAAAAATGAATTAAAATTGCTCTGAAATCTGCACCTTTTTCTATATATAATCAAATTCGATCTCATTTGTTAGCGAGGGTGAGATTTTTTGCTACTTGACTCGGATTTACGCCGCAGATGTAATCATTATACTCTTCCAACAATTTTTTAATCGTTCTGCACTTGGACACATTCTAGTTTTGAACCCTCAGTCTTCTAAACCGATTTCATGAATTCTATTATACTTCTGATAGAATTTACTATTTAGCTTTATCCTAAAACCAAAACTAGGGTGAAGGTCAAAACTGAATTCGTCGAAGCGATTTGGAACAGAGTTGATTTAATAAATGCAGTTTTTAAATTATCGCAACTGTGAAATATGCTAACATGAAGTCATGGATGATTTTTCAATCTGCATATGTATAACGCATACTGGATAATTTTACAATCTGCATATGTATAACGCATTATGCAAGCAAAAAATCCGACAACAATTCCATTACTTAAGCTGTGCGCGACCCATGTTGCGACTTTGCGCGACTCAAGTTGCGAGTTTGCGCGACCCAAATTAGCTATGTTGCGACTCTGTGCGACCCATATTGCGACTGTGTGCGACTCATGATTCGAACGTGCCATGTGATATCCTATACGGTATCTTGTTGGAAAACTAGTGATAATTCAAGAATTGTGTTGCTTGAGTTAATTGTTTTCTCTGTCTATTTTATAGTCACTGAGAGTGATACAGCAGGTTCAAACTTCTGTATCTGCTGTATCACTGAGATCACTGCTGTATCACTGTATCAGGTTCAATCTGCTGTATCACTGAAAGTGATACAGCAGATTTCTGGCAATCGTCGCAGCTTCATTCTTTCCCTCTCGTGGCGTTTCTGGTCGTGGAGGTTGTTCTTCTAAGATTTCTTTTTGTTTCCTCCGACATAACTTCCGGGTTTACATTTTCTTTTACAGTTACTGCCATTAGAAATTGCTCAAACCAGATTTTAAATTGCCACAGTGGGTCTAAAATTGCTGACGCCCAAAATACGGGTGTTCCCATATCAGTACGATTATCCTGAGCTGCGAGACCTGCTGGCTGCTCCATGTGATATCCTATACGGTATCTTGATGGAAAACTAGTGATAATTCAAGAATGTAGTTTTTGTTGCTTGAAATAACTGTTTTCTCTGTCTATTTTATAGTCACTGAGAGTGATACAGCAGGTTCAAACTCTGAGCTCTCAGCTGTGTACAATGTCTCTGAACGCGCGACCTTGGACTTATCATAATAATAATAATTGATACAACTGAAGGTATTACATCATGCGATTACTGCTATTGCAGTAGCAGTATGACATACTCCCTCGAGTGGAAAATAAATTTTTCTTTATATGAAATACTATAAAGAGTTTTATACTTTCAGTTCACAAAGAGTTCGCGAATTTGAAAGATTTTTTAATTGCAGACTTTCAGTTTCCTCAATTTTCTTCCAGGTCGATTCCAATTTTTTCCTTTGTCCAGCGTTGCGTAGCCGAATTTCCTCCTGAATAAGTGTCTTTCCAGTAGGCTTAATTAGAACTCTATAGGCCTGTCGCTCCGTTCTTGGAAGTCCGTTAGTCTTCTTCGGTACTCCTGGAGTGCGGCCTTGAGAAGTGCTCCCCCTGACAACTCCTCCGATACTTCCTTGATGGAATGTTTGACTGGGTCCCCAAACCGTTGTGGCTCTTTACTCTTAGTCTGTCTTGAGCTTCGTCGAACTCCCGATTCTTCGGCGCTAGAATCGTCTGAAACCCCCTGAGGAGGCTCAAATCTCGTATCCCGTTCAGATGCTGGCTGAACATGTCCTCTGAGATTGTCCGCGACTTTTTGAACATCCCTCTTGAGAAGTTGGTCCGCAGAATTCTCCCACTCTGCTGGTGCCAGGTTTCCGTTTTGAAATGTGTCGAGGATGTCCTCAGGTCGTGTTTCTGAGTCTATCTTCTTCAGTTTGGCCTTTTGTTTGTTTTTTGGAGTGGAGCTCGATTGAACGTCTCTATTCGAGGTATCCAAAGTGGATGTTGATTGTTCGCTGCTCTGGTCGACTGCGGTACCAGTTTGTTTGGTCGATTTTTTCGGTTTATTGTCTGGTTTCTTGCCTTTCGTCTTTTTCTCTGATTTCTTTAATGCAACCTCTTCTTGAGTTTCAGGTCCAGGTATCGAAAAAGCCCGCTGTGTTTGGCTTTGCTCGTTTGATGGCAAGTTTAAATCCCCCTCCAGCTTCCGTGTCCTCTGAGGTTATCACTGTTTGGCTTTATTGGAACCGATCCACCGGGTTCACAAAATCTGCTAGTTCCACGGCACATCGCAATTCTTCATCCAAATCAATACCCTCTAAATTTTCTGGAGAACTGATTCTCTGAAGCTTCTTGTGTGGTTCCGCCGATGGACTTTTGCTTTCGTTCCGCGTTTTCTCTTGTTGCAAGCAAATTTTCGCTTGAGCGATATCTGATTTTCTGTAAATTGATCCTGTCGACGTTTTAACTGTCGAACCCGTTTCTGTCGATATTTTCACCTTTAGCGATTTTGTGAGCGCTTGGTCACTCTTAAGTAATTCATCCTTACGCAGAATTGTCTTCCTCGGAGACTGCGAATTTTCCTGTTCCTTATCCTCTATGAATTTTTTCTCCCAGGAGAAGATCATCTCTTTTCGTAGTTCTGGGTTAGATAGGCCTGTTTCATCGACAATCCGCCGTATGTCGTTTTTTGCTGCGTCTCTTTTTTCCTCGTTCCAGCGAGCGTTTGCTTCCAGTAGTTCCTTGAGAGCTTTTGCTCTCTGACGATCCCTGTCTGAGTGTACTTGCTGTTTATGCAGTGGGCTGGTGTCCCTGCTGAGTTCCCCTTTTCTGACTGTCTCCAGATTCTCCCGAGATTGATCAATTCTTCGCTTTAGCTGTGATGCCGTTAGCGCCGATCGTTCCAGATGCTGCTTGTCTAAATAGTCAGAATTGTTTATAAACTTATCACGTAAGATTTTAAATTCGTTTTTTTTGGAACTCCGCCGAAATCTGCCTGGAAAGGAGATACTTGAATAGTTTCCTGCTTGTTCCACCGTAAGTCTCGCATTATGGTACTAAGACATGGTTCGATCAATCGGTTATTTTCTTCTAACAACATTATTCCCAATCTTCGTTTTATGGTTTGCATTGTTCGTTCTACTAGACCGCAACCCCGATGATCACCCACCGGACAGAATTTTTGTTCAATATTAATTTCAGTGCAAAACTTGTTGAGTGTTTTCCCTTTAAATCCTGAAAATTGGTCAGATCGTTCTGATTCCGGAATGCCATCTGTGTCTATATATGATCTCAAGAATTTTACCGTACACTTTCCACTTAATGATTCAGTGACCTTTATTCGAGAATCTATTTATGGCTACTAGAAGGTAGATCTTTTTTTCCTCGGTGGTTTTCTAACGGTCCCATGCAATCCTTTTGTACTTCATGGCCCGGTTGCGTGAGCAGTGGCAGCGGTTTTGACGCATTTTTTGGAATGAGATATTTTACGTTCTTACCATATCTGGTGCAACTACGACACTATTCCGCGAAGTTCACTATGTCCTTATGCATATGCGGCCACCACAGGTATTGTGACACTCCTAGCGTAGCCTTTTGACCCGGATGTCCCCGATGAATTCGTTTGAGCACAGCTTGTTTCAGTTGAAGAGGTACTGCCAGTCTGTTGTTCACCAGAATGCAATCATCCTGCACCGCCATCTGCGACCACAATGTACTCGTATACGGTCCCATCAGCTCGAAGCCCTATTTGTCTCCTCTCTCTATGAATCGTCTGAGGCGGTCCATCCACTTGTCCTCGGAAGTCAATTCTGCCATGAGACTTTTATCAAACAATTTGGAGAGATTGTCCAGTGACTCTTCTGCTTGCTGTTTCTGCAGCTTCTGTTCCTTTTGTTTATTGGACCTTTTGGGTGGTTCGATCGCGCACACCTCTTGATCGCTCTCCATGTCTTCTGTGGTTGTCAGATCCGCCTCGATTACGTGAACATCGCTCAATTTTCTTTCGTTTGGATGAGCCGGTGTGATGCTGATTGGTACTTGATCGGTTTCCTCCGGAACTTTATCGGTCTCTTCCGATGTTGCCACTAGCTCCCGATTGATGTTTCTTGTAGTCTTTGATTCTCCCCCGATCAATTGCCAGAACGAAAGTAGCCTGCTGCCCGGTCTCAATTGTTGGTCCGGTCGCAATTGCCATTTGACTCTTGATGGAATTCTTGTCTCGCTGTCCGAGCTGTCTCTGTTTTTCCGACCTCCGCGAATAATTTTTTCTTGTCCGTTGCAGTGTCTCCGTAACCTCCTCCTCTTCGGACAATTCGTTTGTGTTCGAAAGGGAGCGATTCCACTTCGGGTCCAGAATGTTCTCCTCTCTGTCATCATTTCTCCATTCCTGTGGTGTATCCGACCACCAGTCGTATGAACGATTAAAGTTATCTGACATCTCTTTTTTTGAGTCTGTTTTCTTTTCTGATTTTGTTGACTGATTGTTGAGTTGTTTTTGCAGTTTCTTGGCACGACTGTTTGCTGGGTTGAACTGATGAAAAAGTGATCTGTTTTCTTTGTGAGCTGCTGTTTAGCTGTTTGGGCGGTCACGAAAGTTGTTGTTTTTTCTGGTCCCGGTCGAGCTTTGTTCGTTTTTGTACGTTTTGGTTGCCATAGCAACCACTAAGCGATGAGTGTTTTGCAACATTCCTTCTAGAATATTCTAGAACGTTTTCGTTCCGGTTGAGCGACCCAGTGCTTTCTAGACTACTGCTCATGCAGTATAACGCTTCGTGAAAAGAATTTATTGTTGCCACTACAAACCTTTCGTCTAATTCCGATTCGGGCCAAGGATAATTATAAGGATCACGCAATAAATAATCGACTATCCCCATGTCCCTCCCCGGAATGTGAACATTTTTAAATTGATATGGCAACAATCGATCGACCCACCGGGTCAATCGGGATTGATAGGTTTTGTTTGACTTGTTCCCATCTAAGGCTGATAATAGGGCTTTGTGATCTGTTGCGATGGTAACTGTTTTACCTAAAAGGTAATGTTTGTATCTGTCAACTGCCCAAACAACTGCAAGTAACAACTGCATCCTTCATCTTTTTGTTGTTCTAATGTAGCCCCCAAACCATTGTGGCTTGCGTCACATTTAACTCTTCTTTCAAGGTTAGCGGCATAATAGTTTACTTTTGAAATATTCGCTACTGCGTTTTTTATGGACTCAAACACCACACAGTGGTGTTTGAGTCCATTAAAAACGCAGTAGCGAATATTTCAAAAGTAAACTATTATGCCGCTAACCTTGAAAGAAGAGTTAAATGTGACGCAAGCCACAATGGTTTGGGGGCTACATCACCCCACTCAAATTTCTTTACCTGTAATTTCATGTTTTTCAGTGGCCGCAACTTTTCTGTTAAGCTCGCCGCGTTGGGTATGATTTTTGCTATATGATTTATACTGAACAGAAATGATCTTAATTGCTTTAGCGATTTTGGCGGATTTAGATTTTGTATCGCTTCGGTTTTACTAAACTTTGGACTGACCCCCGACTCCGAAAGGTGATCTCCCAACCTGTTCACCTGGTTTCTGAAGAGTTCGCATTTCGAAATCTTTAATGTCAGATTTTCATCATCCAATTTTTTCAGTACCGTTTCTACTAATTTTTCATGTTCTATTTCACTACCTTTCGACACAATGCGAATGTCGTCCAAAAAACAAAAAGTGTTGAATAGTTCTGTCCATAGTGCGTAGTTAATAGTTCTTTTGCGTGGTTAATAGTTCTGTCCATAGCTTTTTGAAATTCAGCTGGCATGACTGCTAATCCATAGAACCCTGTAACGAATCTATACGTCCCGGTAGCCTTTCCACCAACGATATTGAAGTTAAACTGCTTAGCTGTGCCTGCAGCCAAATTTAACTGGTTATACGCGTACTTTAAATCGAACACTGTGAAGTAAAGCGTGCCCTCTTTGTTTTCTGTAACTATTTGCTTATCCCATCTATGAGTTCGTCTACATTGGGCATTTAATACATATTTTTGAATAATTGCCTGTTTATCGGTTTTGAATCCATCGCCAATTTTATGGAGTCGTCCTTTTTACTGTTATTACTATTGGGGCTATAAAGAAATCACTTGTACATTTTTCCAGCTTTGTGATACGACCTTCTGTCAACAGTTTTTTAGTTTCTTTTTCTACATTGTCCTGTATATGAATTTGGGATTCTTCTCCCCTTTTCTTGAATCGGACGTAGAGAGTACTTGAATTTTGAACTTACAATGTGATTTTTTGAGATTCCTTGTCTATCAAACAAATCTCTCAATTTATCAAAGAATTTGTTTTTCCAACCTTCTGACTGCTCGCACATGAGCACGTGAAACCTGGAAAGTTCTCTTGGGGCTGGTTTTTGTGTGGTGGTGATCCCCACTTGTCCTTGTAAGTCCCATCCCATTATACATCTGGTTTTACGTTCCGTCATCAGAAAAGTGGCTCCCTTCACCTCCCAGCCTGTCGAACGAAGACCTGTCTTCAATACCCCCAATACACAGATTAGTTGTTTATTGTAGTCGACGAGTTGGGTAGCCAAGTTCAGTTTATCGGACGGAAAGAATCTTGCTTTGTTTGATTTATCGATCATTTCTTTGTCGTCGCCCAATTTAAGAAAGAAACTGGACTTTCGTTATCTACCGTCAATTGTATGATTTGATTATCTATTCTCACCATGACCTTTACTGATTTTACCCTGTTTGACATTGGGTCTCGGAGTAAGTCAATTTTTTTAACTCTTATCTTTTCCCCATTTAACTTTTTATTGCTTTCGTTAATTCTATCGCCCACGTATTTCGAGATTCTTTTGTTCTCCGGCCGGTGTGCTTGTATTGACAATACTTCAAAATCACTACATGAGCCGAAGTTTTCTCTTATAAGATCACATTCATCTTCTGATCTTTCGGATTCTTCCGTGACTTCACTCACTTGCTGAGATCTACACATTGGGTTTTTTTGCAAAGTGGTTGGGTTTTCCGCAATTCTTACAAGTTTTGCCCAGTGCCGAACAGCTTCTTAGATGTCCCTGGTCAAATGCTCTTCCGCATCTATTACATGGTTTTGTTTTCCCATTGAATTTTCTCTTGTTATTTTGTCGTTTTTTTGCTTCCCTCTTATATTGTTGATTTTTTGTGTTTCCTGTTGAGTTCCTGACAGCCATCACTGGTTTTTGTTTAATTCTCACCCCAGAGTAGTAGTTGCTGCCTGTTCCTACTGTTGCTGCTGCATTTGTCTTCTGAAATGTCATTGTAGTCAATTTGCTATGTTCGAATTTTATAGCTCTCTTCAACGCTTCCTCTGGATCTAGCGTTTCAAATGTCAGTGTGTCCTGCAACGTCATACTTTTCATTTTCGAAATGAATAGGTTACGAACTATCTCACTTTCCAGTGTTCCAAGTTCTGATCTGGCTGCTTGATCAGTTAATGCTGCATCGAACGCCTCCAATGACTCCTCGGATTATTTCATTCGTGTGAACAATTTATATCTTTCATAAGTCACGCACTTTACCTTTTGAAACGAGACCGCTGCTAGCTCTGTAATGCCTCTTTTTTCCTTCATCCCTAGATAGAGGAATAATCTGGATACAAGCTTCTTCTGTACCTCATATAAAAAACATTGTGGCCAACCCTTGGGCCCCGTGTTCTTCTCTCCTCATTTTCCACTCGATCTCTTGCTAGTTTATCTCTAACATTTCTGGCTATCGTCGCAGCTTCATTCTCTCCCTCTCGTGGCGTTTCTGGTCGTGGAGGTGGTTCTTCTAAGATGTCTTTTGGTTCCTCCAACATAACTTCCGGGCTTACATTTTCTCTTACAGTTACTGCTAATAGAAATTGCTCGAACCAGATTTTAAATTGCCACGGTGGGTCTAAATTTGCTTACACCCAAAATACGGGTATTCCCATATCAGTACGATTATCCTGAGCTGCGAATTCTACTGGCTGCGCCATGTGATATCCTATACGGTACCTTGTTGGAAAACTAGTGATAATTCAAGAATGTATTCTTTGTTGCTTGAAATAGTTGTTTTCTCTGTCTCTTTTAAAGTCAATGAGAATGATACAGCAGGTTCAAACTCTCAGCTGTGTACCAATGTCTCTGAACGCGTGACCTTGAACACATAATAATAATAATAATTGATACCACTGAAGGTTATTATTACATCATGCGATTGCTGCTATTGCAGTAGCAGTATGACAGACCCTGTTCGACTCTCGACCCTGTTCGACTCATGAGTCGATCCGGCTCGACCTATGATTCGACCCTGTTTGACCCATGATTCGACCCTGTTCGACTCATTATTCGACCCTTGGTTCGACCCATGATTCGACCCTGTTCGACCCATGATTCGACCCTGTTCGACTCATGATTCGACCCTGTTCGACTCATGATTCGACCCTGTTCGACTCATGATTCGACCCTGTTCGACTCATGATTCGACCCTGTTCGACTCATGATTCGTCCCTGTTCGACTCATGATTCGACCCTGTTCGAGTCATGATTCGACCCTGTTCGACGCATGATTCGACTTTGTTTGACTATAGTGTTCGTTCGACCGTCTTAATTTGCGACAAAAATCGGACTCCGTTCGACCGTGTCGGTCGAGTCAAGAGTCGAACACCTCAGGCCGGGTTTGAACAGAGTTGATTTAGTTATATGCAAA